TGGAAAAATATCACTTTTGTCCAATGCATTTTACACCATGCTACAAGTTGCAAATTCTGTCCAACCATGCTTGTACTTAGTTTACAGGTCCTTAAACCCTTCCACACTCATAAATTAAATGCAAACACATTGGTTAGAGGCATTGTTCTGATCTATGAAGCATTATGCAAAGGATTAATCCATTTTTGGCAAAAAGTTAACAATGTCATTTACATAAAGCATGCTTTATGTCAAATTGATTATCTTGAGCCATACACCAAGCCTTTTGCTGCAAACAAAGCTCCCTAATATCAGGAAAAGCTCACCAACTTTGTGCAGCTAGAGTATAGACCTGTACAACCTTGCCTTTGTCACTTCCCACTTTTACTTCAAAAACAAGTCAACTTGTAAAATCACCACAACTCTTGTATCGGTTAAAACCAAAGTTTGTGAACATTTGAAACAAGTTTCTCACATTACACTAAGCCAAAAACACGAGCTAGCAAGTTCTCAAACCCTCCAAAACACCAAAACACAAGTCCTTGTCAAAACAGGGCGGGTTCTGCATTTTGATTTCCAAAACAAAATCCACTCGTGCGTTTTGCTTGCAACCAGTTCCAACACACTCCATACAATATACCTAAGCTATCCCAACCATTCCCAAGTCACTGTAATTCCATTTACACACTTCACCATTTTCAAATTCTGAGTTTGCAGGTTGAGTTCTATAGGGGGATTCAGGCAAGTTCAAAGCAAGCTAAGCATTGGGAAAGCTCAAAGGAACTTCAAGCAAGCTCACAAGTATCTCATGCCTCACTCACAATCCCTGCATTGCCATACTCGAGCTTGACTAAAACAGGTAAAGTTCAAACTTCTATCTCCTTACTTAGGAATCATTAGGCTTAGGTTTGTGAAGAAAACATGTAGTCCTCATTGCCCTTGAGTTGTACATATGCATAGAATTTATTTATGTTAACTGAGCTAGGAGTATTTGATAGTTAAAATTTCTGAAAAAACTAGGTCAAGATTTAGGGCCAAAGAAATTCTCTTTGGTCTTTGAGAGTTAGATTAAGTTTTTTATATGGTTAGAATCGTGTGATCAAGAGCTATAACTTTCATGTTGCAAGTTTTTGTTTTTAAGCACAAATGCAGGAGATACAAGTTTGAATACAGGATGCGCGTTTTCTTGTGCCGGAGGACAGGGATGAAGAGGATATGGGTTGGGCCTGACTTGGCCTTGTTATTGACACCCCCTAGCTTGCTTTCTGCACCCCCTTGGTCCATTGATTTTATTTTTGTATATTTTCCATTTCTATTTTCATTTCTGACTTTTATTATTTTTTCTAAATATAAAAAATCATCAAAAACATTTTCTTAATTTTTACATTTTTATTTTATTATTTTTATTATTTTTTTGGGCATAAAAATAGTTTACTAATAATATATACTTTATTTTTCTTAAATAAATTGCAAATAAGTTTAAAATACTTATACATTTTATTTTATTATATTATACACTTAAAAATAATATTGTCATACATATTTTATTTTTTAACATTTTGTATATATATATTTTTTTCTTGTACATAAATAAATAATCATAATATATATATTTTCTTAAACCAAAAATTAGGGTTTTTACCCTTTCCAAAAATAATCTTTTATTTTCTTATTTTTGATACATTGAATAATTTATTTTTACATACATAAAAACAATACAAAAACATTTTTTGCATATTCATAATATATTGCATATTTAAATATTGTCAATTTATTTATTTGTACAATGAATTCAATTTGGTTGTAATAGTTGATTTAGGGTTTTATTTTTTGTGCAAAATATCCCTTATTCAAACTTGTACCCCCCTCCCCATATCAATGTTGTAATAGTCGTAGATTTACTTTTACGCATTTATTGCTTTCAAATATGCCATGTTAGAAAGATTAGGGTTTGTATGATAACCAAAATCAAAACAAATAGCTAGACCTAATACAAGACAAAAATGCATGAAAAATGACAACACAATGCACACAAACACCCCTAGGGTTTCATCCACCTGTTGCCTTAAACATGGCCATGGTATGCATGCTAGGTATCTTGGTAAAACAAAATTAAAACAAAAGATCATAGTCCCTCGATGACGCTATCTTGGTTGCATATACAAAAATGATCTAGACCCTCAAAAAACTTGCTAAGATACTTGGCAATATTGTTATCATGGTCATACGATGACCCACGCCTGTCCCGTGTAACATCCAAACACAAGGTTGTTTACCAAATACAATGGTAAAACAACAATGTCAAAAGGGTTAAAAATATGTAGGAAAGATCTTGGAGTAGGGTAGACAACTCCTAGTTACTTGATCAAACTTGCAAACATCCTTGCTATTTTCAAAAACACATCACAACACAATTTCAAAACATTTCCCAAAACAAACTTTCAAACATTGAAACATTTTTCAAAAGACAAACACCTTTGTATACATTCAAACAAGAATCATTACGAAGGTTGCCTAAGACAAAGGCCTCTTTTTAAAATACTTTCAAAACCACACACAAAAGCACCATTTCAAACAATTGAAAAGCAAAAGCAAGTGATCTAAAACAAGTAACTAAGAGCCCATGGAAAACCATGGATGAAAAGGGTGCTAGCACCTTCCCTTTTCATAATCTACCCCCCGAATCCAAAAACAATCTCAAAGGTCTTTCCTGTGCTTTTTGACCTTTCCTTTGGATAAAATAAAAAGTTGGTGGCGACTCTTGCTAAACCGAAACAGTTGCGAACACAAACGCAAAACCTCAAGTCAGTTCTCCCACCGCATCATAGTAGTCATATCTCAAAGTGGACTGAGTGAAGGTCAGACTCTTGTGAGATCACTGATGGATATCATTGAAAGGAAATTCTGGTAGGAGATCTTGAGGGATCAAATTCTATTGGATCAATGAACGTTATATCCCGCAGGATCCCTGAACGTGTCATTGTGTGTTAGTCACTGAACATTGCCCGTGCATTTGTATTCAGTTTGGTTATAGTGGATTAAGTTTGGTGATAAGGCGAAATCATCCTTGCGGAGGTGAACATGATTGACCTTTTTAAAGGTGAACCTGAATAAATCCTCGTGTCCTTTATTCTTCATTGTCTCTATCGTTATTATCATTGAGTGCTCTGAATTTCTAAAGGGGAATGTTTTTTATAAACCCAATTCAAACCTCCATTTCTTGTGTTTTCTCTACCTTCACTACCGAGGTTGAGTATATTACAGTAACTCAAGCGTTTAAAGAACTTTTGCGGTGAATAAATTCCTTTAAGAGTTGGGAGTTGAGCAAGGGAAATCCGTGTTGTTATGTGACAATTAGAGTGTAATTCATCTTGGCAAGAACCCGACATTTCACTGCAGGCCAAAGCACATTAAGGTGTGATATCATTGGATACAGGATGCATTGAAGATGAAGTCGTTTCACTTGAAAAGATCCATACTAACGAGAATGGTCAAGATATAATGTCAAAGATTTTGTCTGCGACAAAGATGATCCACTGCAGAAAAAATGTAGGCATAGTGGAGCAACTCCTTCCCACTTGAGCCGTGAGGGGGAGATTTGTAGAGTAGATTCACTCTTAAAATGGGATCCACCTTTTATTTAGAAAAAAAAAAAGAAAAAGAATAAAAAAAAAGATTTCATTAGATTTGTTATATTTGGATCAAACCCATTTAACATCTATTTAAAGACATTCTTTAATTCTTAAAGCCACCCAACAAATAAAACTTACAAGGGTTTTAGAAAAGAAGAAAAGGCACAAGTGATGGAAGAATATGTAGTAAACTTTATCAGTAAGTTGTTACTATCACATAATTAATTTTATTGATATTTTTGTTGAGTAGTTTTACCTTCTTTTAGAGTTATTTTAGTATACTCATAATTTGTGGAGTTGTTGTTTGAAGTGAGTTTTCCCACTTTTATTATTTATTAGTGATGATTATTATTCCTCATTATTATTATGAAGACTTTTATATTTTCATTATTTTAATTTCTGCTATTATTACTGTGCTGGTTTTTGTTTAAATTACACAAATTACTTAATTATTTTCCAACAATTTAATTTTTTATTAATATAAATAAATTATTGATATTAAAATCAACAACATTTTAATTAAAAAGAGAAAATAAAAACTGTATGTAATTTATATTTTTTATTTGGTTAAAAAAATATTAGTCAAATATATAGAAAAATTGAATAATTATTAATATTTTATGGATAAAATTAATACTAATTTTTTTTATTATTAATAAAAAATTGGTGAAACAATCTCTAAATTCTATTTATTATAAATATTTATATTTGATGTTTGACACACTAATTAAAACTATTTTTTATTGAGAAAAATCAAAGAAAGTCACACTGAAATTAAATTAATCAGTTATCTATAAATAAAAGTTTATTTATAAAATATTTTAAATATTGAAGATATTATAAGAGTAATAATTATTTCGATTAAAACAACAGCAATAATTTTTTCAAATTGATAGCTCATTGTTAAAAGAAAAAAAATACAAATTTCTCTAAAATAAAAATGATTAAATTGTAAACAAACCCAAAACATCAAATTAATAATATAATATAAAATGACACGATAATATCTAAAAAAATGATATAGTATTCAAAATTTTATATGATTCTAAATCTGCAACGTTTATAAAACCTGAGTTATTTATTAAATAAACATTGGAGTAAAGTTGAAATCTTTTTAAAAAAATACAAAAAAGGTGTAATAAAGGAAAAACCATTTAACTAAATAATAAAAAAGAAAGAATCAGAAAATGATAACGACAAGAACATAGCAAATAATTTTATTATTTTTATTAAAATGGAAATTATTTACACGAATATTACTCCCTTATACCCCCATTATCTAAAATCATAAATACTCCTTTAAATTTTCTCACCTAACTCATAGTTCAGTAGTAAAGTAACACAAACTTCTCTCGTTTTTTTTCTGTTAATCTCTTCATCTTTTCACTAATGTGGCTATCATCTTGGTTAGGTTTATCACGTGGTAACCGAACCACAACACGAACCTCATCTCCCAGAACCCGAACCTACACTTCATTCCGAAGCATCAAAGATATCCGAACCATCCTCCAACCCGGACCCGATTCACAAAACTCCCCCACTCTCTGCCGCCGCCTCAGCACCTCCCACTCTCTCCTCCGATCCGTCAGCACCAGCGCCCGCTCCATCCCTCCCTCCATCACCGTCCCCTCCAACCTCGACCACGGCGGCATCGTCGTATACTTCACCAGCCTCCGCGTCATCCGCCGTACATTCAACGACTGCCGAACTGTTCGATCCATCCTCAAACGATTCTCCGTTTCCATCGACGAGCGCGATGTCTGCGTCGATGAACGGTTCCGCGAGGAGCTTTTCGAGATCCTCGGTCGCCGGAATGTGCCATTACCGTGCGTGTTTATCGGAGGTGAATACATTGGCGGAGTAGAGGATTTCAAAAAGCTTTACGATAGCGGCGAGTTGCAGGAGATGATTGAGCGGTTACCGAAGACGGTTCCGAGCGCGTGTGAATTTTGCGGCGGAATGAGATTTGTGGTTTGCGATGAGTGCGATGGGAGCCATAGAGTGTTCGCGGACAAGAGTGGGTTCAAGACTTGTTTATCTTGCAATACCAACGGTTTGATCAGGTGCCCTGCATGTTTCTTCGTACTGCCGCGTCACACCAAATAGTAATTTCCGTGTTCTTTTTTTACAAGATTTGATTTGACTGTTAAGTTTTATTAAGTAGTTAAAAAAATAGAGTTGTTTGGTAAATGGTTATTCCATTTGACCAAGTTTGGGAATAATGTTAGTTTGTTATTGTGAATAGTTTATAGGGAATAAGTATATTTTTGTTGTTGACTGAAATGATTTTATGGTTTTATGCCATTTCAGTTAAAATATTCTCTGAATTATAGCCTAGAATAAAAAACTTGGAGATTTAGCCGTGCATCAAAATATTTTTATGTGATAATACATTTGAATATTAATGTATATGATTCCAATGGATCAGATAAATTTATAGTCAAATATATATAAAAAGTAAAAATTATTTATAATAATATCGGAAAGATATATTATATATAAATTGATTGTGGTCTTAATCTTGTTCCTCAGCTGACTAAATTTCACTGTGATTTAAAAACTTAAATCTCGGAGTAGCTTAATATCATTTACTTTTTGAATCTTTAAATTTTTTATAAGAAAATGATTTAAATGGAATATACTTTATGTGTAAAGAATTTTTAATGTTTATACTGTTTATAGAAATATTTGATTTTATAATAATTTTGTTATAGGCTAACAATGTAAATCTGCATAACTGTAAAATATAATAAACATATGAAACACAGAGAGATTATTTGAGAAATAAGTTAGTTCATTTTAACCTAACTTATTTATGTAATTAGTTAAAGTTAGTTATAGTTGGTTATTGTAATAACAAATTTATCTTCTATATATCTTACATAAGATGAACGGGGTTTTGTAAAACTCAAATTTGTGAAATGCAATTTTATATGTTCAATGAGTATTTTTCTTTCTTTTTCAATGGTGTTCATATTTTCACTTCTCACGTGGTATTAGAGTCTAATTTTATTCGTGTTATTTCCAATTTCATAAAATTTGAAAATTTTAATTTAGATACTAGTGTTACTTCATCATGCAAAGAACAAAATTATATTCCGTCGGTGTGAAATCGACCAGAGTTCATTTTTAGCCTAATTGACAAGAGTTAATGAGGATCTTCTATAATATATTTATTATGTATTCAATGAGTCTCCTCTCTTTCTTTGTGATAGTGACTCGTTTATATAGGATCTCTCTTCTCCTCCGTCTTTAATTACCAATTTATTGGTAATTAGGGTGTTTGTTCCCTTGTCTCCTTGAAGAGATTAAATGTATTCATATTCCTTTGCTTCTTTGTCGATAATTGACCATTCATGGGCTTTTATTGTGTTTTATTTGGCTTAACTGCTTTGACAATTAGGTCGGAGGAAGACTATTTTAAAATCGGGTATAGATCCGACCCAATAAATTATTCGGGATGTACATAGTCCTCTCAAGCGTGAGGCTTGAAGGGGCGAAAGGCTTAAGTATGGTCCCGATATCTGAACTGTCTTTATAGGAGTAGGCACAATTATGTTCGTATATGTGGTAGCGTTCCCGCCTTTTGTGATTACATCTCGATCATATGAAATTTAGATTGTCTAAGCATATCTGAGATACCATCCTGATCTTATAAAATCTGGAATGTACACAGCTCCCCAAGCGTGGGACTAGAAGGGGCGAAACACTTACGTATCAATTCGTTCTCGGATGTTAGCGTACTCTAGGGTCAAATAAATCATGAGAGATCGAAGGCATTATGAGTTTACCTTGTTCCTGAGATGGGCTTGTGTTACCCCGAGGTTGGACTCATGTTACTTATAAGCCAAGCTCGTGTTATTTCTAAGTCAAACTCCTTTAATAGGACCTAGACTTGAGAATTTTCATCTCATCAATAAAGATAGATTCCAGAAGGTGCATTGTTTATGTCTGCCCCGCCAGAGGTATCTCTCTGGTGGCGAATTACGGGTTTTCTAGTGATGTTTATCCGTCTTTATACTCGTATAAGTTGCTTACTAGTCTTTCCGATTTATAAATACCGATGATTCATATCGCTCAATCCCGTGATGTAATATCTGGGAAGTACATAGTCCCCCAAGCGTGAGGTCTGTAAGGATGAAGCGCTTTAAAGACGTTGCGCCAATCGTTCATGCAAAAAACAAAATTGTATTCAGCCGGTATGAGACCGGTCGAATTCCATTTTTAGCCTAATTGACAATGGCTAATGAGGACCTTCTATCATGTATTTTTTATGTATACATTGAGTCCCCTATTTTCCCCTGTGACATTGACTTGTTTATATAGGATCTCTCTTCTCCTTCGTTCTTAATTATCAATGTATTGATAATTAGGGTGATTGTTCCCTTGTCTTCTTGAGGAGATTAAATGTATCCATATCCCTTGTTTCCTTGTTTGTGATTGACCATTCATGACCTTTTATTGTGTTTTTACTACATAGAGAGAATTAAATCTATAACCATTAAATTGTCATATGGATCCTTAGTTACTACAAATTTTTCCAAAACTATTTTGTTTGATCAAACTTTCTTGTTAACTTGTGTTTTTTATATGTCCAATTTTTCATTTAACCTCATATTTGTTTCAAAAATGACTTAAAATCTCAAATGTCAACTCATTTTTTATAACTCAAGTTATTTGATACAAAATACTTCCTCTAAGAAGTTGATTGGTGCAATTGAATTGAGAGTGGATTATACATTCTCACCTATGCATTAGCGGCCATCCTTCATACACCATCATATTCTCTTGTATATCCTACGAAAATCTACACTTTAATACATAATAATGATGTCAATTCCATGAAGAATTATAGTTTAGGACTAAAAGTTTATTGTAATATTTGGTATTTAAGATTTAGCCATCCTTCAAAAGATAAATTAATTGAAATAATTAAAAACTTTTTTATTAAGAATAAATAAAAAGCTTTTCTTTTGTTAAAATTGTGCATTCTTACTTATAAAAAAATTGTGCATTCTAATGCTCCTTGTGATGTGTATTTTCACGCAACACGGAAAAGACTCCCCTTTTCATATAGTACTCATAAATCTATTACAAATTTTTATCTAAATATTTGGGTGCTTTTTGCAATTCCTTCAATGCATGGTCATAAATATTTTTTCAGTGGTTGATGCTAAGAATACATTTACTTGGATATTTTTCATGAAATCAAAATCAAAATCTTCTAATCTCATTCATTATTCTTAAAGGCTTTTATAATAAAGTTGATATTTTACATCAATCATCTTGTGTTAGTATTTCTTAACAAAATAGTATTGTTGAGAGGAACCACCAACACGTTCTAGCCACAACCACTACAGTCCTTTTATTTCAAGCACATTTGCCAAAATATTTATGGTCTTATGTAGTTTGTCATGTTGTTCATATAATAAATATATTGCCTTAAGAGAATTGGAAAAGTGTTGTTAAGACTAAGCTATATGTATTGTTGAAAACTAATATTTGGAATTTAGTTCAAGTGCTTGCACATATGAAAGCCATTTGATGTAAATGGATGTTTAAGTTGAAAATACATGTCAATGATACTGTTGAAAGATATAAAGCAAGGTTAGAGGAAAAAGGATTCACTCAAACTAAAGGTCTTGATTATTTAAATACCTTTAGTTCAATAGTGAAAATGACAACTATTAGAGTGTTCATGTCAATTGCAGCTTCCTAAAATTGATCATTTTCCAGCTTGATGTTGACACTACATTTTTGCATGCCGATATAATGAAGAAGTATATATGCAAGCCCCTTATGGTATTGATTTGCCTCAACCTAATATGGTGTGCAAGCTACAAAGATCTATTTATGGATTCAAGCAAGTAAGAAGACAATGGAACATAAAACTCACTGAAACGCTAATCAATTTGACTACATGCAATCCAAGTCTGATTACTCTTTGTTTACCAAGAAAAATTATGCAAAGTTCATTATGATCCTAGTCTATATGGATAATTTAGTCTTAGGAGAGACTGATCTTATTGAAATTGCAAATATTAAGACCTTATTGACTGACAAGTTCTGTTAGAACATGTTTGATTCTATAACCCTTGTAAGAGTTTAGATGATAACAAACACTCAAAGAACAATTATGCTTCCTAAATTTGTATTTTGCAGAGAAGTTCTGATGGAAGAAGCACAAAAAATGAGTTAAATAGTTGTTTCAACTTTGATTCTATACATCACTGAAAGAAGTTTTAACGCTGCAAACAGGATTCTGTGTTTCTGATCCATAAAATTATGGAGAGAAGCAACAGAACTTTCATCTTCTGAAGCAAGCATGTTCTGAAGGTTACAATTCAACTATTATCATTTCAAAAGTAACGGCTTAAAGGGAATAAGGATCTCTATCTTTAGAAAGCTCTTTAATTATCATTAATCAACATTCCAAAAGCTCCTACATGCATCACCTATTTAAACAAAATTTGAAGGAGAAATCGTTTACAATTTTCACGCACAGCAAAGAAGTCATCTTCATCATCTTCAAACGTTCTAAATCTAAATTGTGTAAAACATTAATTGTGATACTATTTTATTAGAAAACATTTTTGTACACTCTATTAAATATTGTTTAATGTATTTCCTTGAGAAAATCGGATTGTGGTTTAAACTCAAGAAGACTTTGACGATTGTCATAGTAGCTGTGTAATAAAGTTTGATTAGTGGATTAAGACCTCGTTAAGAGAGGCGAAATCACCTTGGCGGGTGGACTGTAGTAGTTTGAGTTCAAACCAACCAGGATAACCAACATGTTATTTTATTTAAGTTTTAAAAATCCCAATTCAAACCCCCTTTCTTGTGTTTTTCCATTCTTCAATTGGCATCAGAGCGCCTGGTTCTGAGTACAAGCACTTAACCGTGTCAGAAAAAGATCCAAGCAAGAAAAACACTATGGTGGGACCAAGTCAGAACATCGACAATGACTACCATGATGAGAAAGACAGAATCAACGACAAACCTCCTATTTTTGATAGTGAGAACTTTGATTACTGGAAAGACAGAATCAAAAGTTTCTTTCTAGCTCATGACGCTGATCTCTGAGACATGGTGGCTGATGGGTA